TCTTGCTGCAGCCAGGTTTCTGTAAGACAAAATAAGTCAATGTCATTATCAAAAATCAAGTCATTAACAAGCAGAATTTTAGAGGAAAGAGATCTTATGTTAAACAGACCACATTTAATCTTTTCTAAACATTTAATATTTATGCTATACAAAATGGAACCCCACAAGGAAGTGCATGTAGTCCACTGATTTTTAATATAATGATATTTTAGATAATATAGATTTTAGAATTAATAAAGCATTATATGCAGATGATGGAGCATTATGGATGAGAGGAGGAAATATTAGTCATTTAACAAATAAAATGCAATCAGCAATTAAAACGGTTAAAAGATGGTCACAAGACTGGGGGTTTCATTTGTCTGTTGAGAAGACACAAGTAATATGTTCTTTAAAGAAAAAGGGTTCATCCTACAGTAGATCTTAGATTATATGGAAATAAATTGAAGCAGGTAAATATCGTAAGGTACCTCGGCAGATGGTTTAATGTGAAGCTTTCATTTAGGATACATATTCAGAAGATTAATGATAAATGTAAAACAGGAATTAATATTTTAAGATGTTTGTCAGGGAATGACTAGGGGCAACAAGCACATCTTTAGAAAGAATATATAATGTTTTAATTAGATCTGTGTTGAACTATGGATGTACAGTATCGTTTAAAAGTCAGCTGCAAATTCTTTGTTATTAAATTTGAATAGAATAGAATAGAATAGAATAGAATAGAATAGAATAGAATAGAATAGAATAGAATAGAGGATATGTTGTGGTGCTTTTAGAACCTCTCCTATTTCTGCTCTTCAGGTGATTACTGGAGAAATGCCACTGGACTTAAGGTGGATAAAGCTATCAATAAATTATTGGTTAAATTTAAAAGGGCATGAGGAAAATCATCCTACTAAAAAGGTTGTTGGGAATATGTCCATAACATAAGGAGTTTTGGATGGGAAGGAATTATTTATGCAGATTATTTGGGTATAAATAATATAGCATGCTGCAAAACTGTAATTAAATCTAAAACTGCTCCGTGGTTATTCGAAAAGCCAATAGCAAATTTAGAAACCAAAAAAAATAGAACAGTCCTGTGGAGGTTTGTATCAAATTATTCCACAGTATTTAGATATTTTGTATGAAAATATGATGCAAATATATGAAGATGCATCAAAAGAGGAAAATGGTAAAACAGGAGTAGCAGTTTATATTCTGAAACAAAAAGTTTTTATAAAAAGAAGAACAACAGATCATTTATCAATTTTTTCAGCAAAGATGTTGGTAATTATTTTGGCATTGCAATGGGTGCTGGAGGTGAAGCCTCGTAAGGTAGTTATCTGTTCAGATTCAATGTCTTGCTTTACAAGTATTATAGGTGGAAAATCTGAAATCCATCAAGATCTTTTAGATGAAGTTAGTTATTTGTTATATGGTATAAAGCAACAAAAAATAAGTATTTAATTCACATGGGTTCCAGCACATAAAGGAATTGTAGGTAATGAAAAAGTAGATAAGTTGGGAAAAGAAGCAGTTAAAGCAAGAGAACCTGAATATGATGTCTACGGAAGAGGATTAGGGCCACTGAAAAAAAGGAAAAAGTTAACTGATTTTTTTTTTTTTTTTATTTCAGTATAGTATGGGAAAAAAGTCAGAT